AGTTTTTTAGGTGTCTTACCTATCCTCACCCCTCCCTTGTGTGCTCTTGCTTTTATCATGTGCTCATAGTCTAATCCCATTGTTGTGTTTGCCCTTAAGTTACAGTTTGTGTTCCAGAAATATAATACATCTGGGTCATGAAGAGATTTTGTATCAAGGTGTTAAAAACTTACCCCAACTGCAGATGTCACTGTAATATTCTCTGGACTAAGTGTCCTTCTCAACTGAGCATCAAGATTTTCTAGAGGTTGCTGGGACTGAGCAAAAACAGTTAAAAGTACATGTAAATTCTTTAGTATCTTAGGAGCCACAATACATGTAGACAATTTATACAGGACATACTGTTTTATGCTTTAGATTACAACGTAACATTTTTTTATCAATGCAAAAGTCAGTATACTGAAATTTAATGTAACATTTCAGTGATCAGTTTCTCAAGATGGTATGTCAATGTATCAAGCCGTAAGACTAGTTTCAGCTACATTTATGTTTTCACCGCTTCAAAGCCATCCTTCTCATCTTCTAAGTTTGGTGATACTAAAGTGATAGAAATTTTTTGTCCTCTGAAAATATATTCTGAAAACTCTACTGGTAGTCCATGTTTCCCATTTTTCTTCTCAGTTTTATATACCTTTCTGGGAACCTATCACTATGATTAAGAGATGGCGTTAATAGTGGCTATCAAGGGATATTTTCTTATTCAGATCTAAAGAAAAATAATTCTACCCTACCAATAATAAAAAGGAGGTCCAGGTATTCCATCATCTTAACTATGCCTCATTACTATATACCTCAAGGTCATACCTTTCACCCTTGCCACAGTTGCCAATCCCACATCTAACCTTATTTCTATCAACCTATGTTTATACAGCCTTCATTTACGCTTCTCTCTAAATATGCAGTTACCATCCACTTATACTTGCCCTCCCTCCACATTTCTCAATTTCCCATTATATTTCATACTCCCTTAGGAAGCTGAATGCTTTTATTTTTTGAATATGGTCATCTCACTATGTTGCCAGGCTGGTCTCAAACTCCCGGTTCAGGTGATACTTCCACATCAGCCTCCTAAATGTTGTCACTATAATACATGCCACAAATGCATGCTCTTGTTCCTTTTTTTTTTTTTTTAAAGTATTGAAGTTTGAACTCAGGCCCTTACACTTACTAGGCAGATGTTCTATCACTTAAGCCATGCCCTCCTGCCCTTTTTGCTTTAGTTATTTTTCAAATATGGTCTCATGCAGGCCAGCCTGGTCCAAAAATCCCAGCACCTCTCATGTAGCTGGGATGACAGGCATGCACCATCACACCCAACTTTACTGGTTGAGATGGGGTCTCTCTGTACATGTAGGATGGCCTCAAACCACAAGCCTCTTGATCTCCAACTTCCAAGTAGCTGGGATTGTAGGTAAGCCACTGCATCCAGTTGAATGCATGTTTTTAAAGACAATTGGCTTAAATCCAAACTTCTATTTTAGAGACTTTTTTAAATGGTTGGTAGAATAGATGGTAGAGTGGGTTCTCTGTTGGGAGTTATTACTTTATTGTGGTAAGTCCCTTACAGTATAGTCTATTGAAAATTTGGATTAAAGTAGGGATAAATTCATAGTAGGTTTCTCAAGTAAGCAATTGGTCATGTTTTTCTTACATATAACTCCAAAATAAATTCCTAACTCAGTTTCAAAGTTTATCAGCTTGTGCTATGTTAGAAGCTTTTTCATGGTTACAATGGATTCATTCACAGGTGCTTTCCTTATGGGAATTCAACTCAATGTGTTGGTAATGTTGTAGGGTCAGCAAAGCAAACAATAATTTAAACATTACAGGTAATTCTAATCACCACCACACTCCAGGAGAAGTTAGTGGGTGAAGTGAATCTTAAGTTCATTTTGGTGGTCTCAGTTCCCCTTTGAGTAACCATACAATGCTAGCATTCACAGAGGTTATGTGACTTCTATATTAAAAGATACAGTATATACTTTCATAAAACATCATCTCTTTATATAATGTACATTAGTTGCTTAATAAAACAAATGATAAACATTCACGAAAAAACTGGTATGTGGGACTCAAGGCAAAAAAAAAAAAAAGGCGTGAGTTACCAGTGTATACCCCCACTACACACACAGGATCTTGCTATGTAGTTCACATGGGCCTCATACTCAATGATTCTCCTGCCTCAGTCATCCAGGTACTGGGATTACAGGTGTGCACCACCATACCTAGCTTATGGTTCTTGATACTCAGAAATTTTCAGTTTGATTACATAAACCTTTTTACGTCTACAATGGCTTAGAAGTTAACCTAACATTTGTAGAATAGTGAAACTGTATCTTAAAAGTGTGAATGTTAAAAGGAGTTATGTTTCTCGGGCAAAATGTCAACCTTGGTATTTTCTTCCTACTTAAGATATGAAAAAATATTGATGTCAAATATTTTCTACCTGAAGCAATACTCTAAACAAAAGAACCATGAATTTTCTTACTTTAAATAGGGCCTGGGTCATTGACTACACAGTTTTAAAAGGAAGATGTTATCAAGTAAAAGGCAAAAAGGAGCCAGAAGCCAAGATCATGCAATGGAGAATTTAAACAAGCTCTGTGAATGGAAGAAGGGGCATAGAAAGGAATCTGCCATGTCTTGGGGCACCTGAGTTAGTGAAGGTCCAGGGAAGGGTGGCAGCTGCTCACAGGGTAGAGTACCAGCTGGAAGTTCAGTACCCACTGGCAATACCTACAATGAAGGGAGATTCAAGCCCATGAGACACCAATGGTAAAGACTGCATACTAAAGAACAAACCAACTGATCTGAATACAGAAATGTAAGAGCAAAATGGGTCTAGTTAAGACATGCTTATCACATAGGCCCTACTGATTATCCATTTTAAATAAAAGACATTATAACCAATGGTATGTAATCAGAGTAACTATTAAAAATTACTGAAATGACTATGAAATAGTAAAATATAATAAAAGGCTGTTTTCTAGGGAAAATAAAGAAAAGTCTATATGCAGAGCCCAGATAAATATATATATATTTAGTGGGGCTGGGGCTGAACTCAGGGCTTCATGCTTCCAAAGCACGTGCTCTAATGCTTGAGCCACACCTTCCATCCATAGAATCCAGACATTTTTGAAGGCACTTATATGACACAATATCATCTTAGCTTTTGCTAAGAAAAACAAGACTTTCCAGAGAACAGAGAGACAAAAAACAGAGGCTAGTTTAGAAATAAGCAAGGGGCAGGTCTACCAACGAGCATTAAAAAAACTATATACTACAAAGTACAATGTTCGGGTAGGTTAGGTGTATTAAATGCATTTTTTGACTTAAAGTATTTTCAATTTCCAATGCGTTTGTAGGGCTTACACCCTACTTTAAGTCAAGAAACATCTATCTTACTCTAATGTAAAAACACTCTCATATCAGTAACAATGCAGAACAAAAGGTAGCTGAAGCATACAATTCAGTATACACTACATCCTTGTTATTTTTGGAGATTTAGAGAGGCCGCAGTTAGCAGAATGAGAAGAAATCTACCACAGCAGAATTAGAAAATAAATTCTAGCTATTTATTCTCAGAATTAGATCATTTTCTCCTTTTCTGTATCACTTTTACCATTAACATCCCAACTTCTTATAAATACCAATTCAGGAGAAATGCCTGTGTTTTATCTAATAATTACATCTTCTAAGAAAACAGTGCAACATAAATAACCTAAAAATCCTTCCTTATTTCAAAAAAGGGAAAAATCTTGTGCTTGAAGTACACACATTCTAAAATTGGTGTCAACTGAAGACTGAGTACCCAACTGTATGTCAGGTACCTTTGTAACTATACTTCTAATATGCAAGGTTGATTTGAAAAATGGAAGTAAGGGGAACAGGAGTGATCGTATTTACCTAATTATTTTATAGTGAGAATCTTACCGGAGTCTTAGTTAAAGGTGGCTTTGAGGGAGTAGTTCCAGGTTTCACTCCTGATACACTGCCAGCTGGGGCTGAGACATAGCTGCCTGGGGTAGGAACCTGCCCAGGTGTGCCCACTGTGCCCACAGGCATAACTGACAAACCAGTTGTTCCCAATGGCAAATTGGTTGGCGGTAAGCAAGTACTCGTAGTAGAAGTCATGAGTTTGCTTGGTGCAACAGCAGTGGTGGGGATGCCTGCTGTGACAGTGGTTTCTACTGCTAGAGAGGTGTCTAGTGAGACAGAAGCATGCTGAGCTCCAGATGAGCTATGCTCACTAAAGAGAGAACGCAACTTTTCCTCCAGAGTCTTTATGTCATCAATTCCAGGAGCTTTGGGTTGGGTATCAGCATCTATTTCTGGACAGTGAGTGTGGGGCTGGTTGGGAAGCAAAGCTGGTTGAGGCTGACTGTGAATGAGAGTTTGCTGTACAGCAGGCACATTGGCAACAGGTTGTACCAAGGGTGGGATACTAGGTACTTGGGGTAATAAAGGTGTACAAGTAGGTGCCGCTACTTGGGGAAGGACAGGTGTAGAAGTCATAGCTGATTGGATGACCAAAGGATGCACTGCACCAGACTGAGAAACAGAACTAGACACTCCTGTTCCAGGAGAGGAAGAGGATGCAGAGAAGGACAAAGCCAATCCAGCTGTACTGCTATGAGATGTTTTGTCTAGTGAGTGTGCACTAACCACCACTGTTTCAGCTAGAGTAGGCGCAGAGGTGCTGCTGCTAAGCTGAACAGATGGCTGTGAAGCTATGCTTGGGAATGGAGTGGTGGAAGAGACCGATGTTACTGAAGCTACCCCAGCAGTACTGCCTGCTGTCTGCTGCAATAATACAGCTGGAGGCTTAGGAGCTGGGGCAGCCACACTGCCTACTGCAGTGGTTAAAGTTGTTGAAACTGTTATAGAAGAAAAAGTGCCTGTACTAGGAACAATGCTCCCAGAGGTGGGGGCCTGAGCTGGCTGGGATGTTGTAGACATTGAGAGAACTGCAGGTATTGTAGTGGTTGAAACCACACTGGAAAGTATTGGCGACTCCGACACAGGTGGTATAGGGACACCACTTGAAGTTACCACACCTGTGCTGGTGGCAACTCTGGCAATCCCTTTTTTTTCTGTGGGCACTGTAACCTCAGACTGAATTACTGATGCAGAAATTTCATTAAGAGGGCTACTTGTTACAGGGACTGAGACTGAAGGTGTAGCCGCTGCTGTGGTTGGGCCTCCAACAATGCTACCCAAGAAAGGGGGAAATGTTGGTCCTGTGTGACTGAAGTTTGGAGGTGCCGTACTGGGTCCTTCAGTTCTGTGGGCATGTCTAAGTTCAGAAAAGGCCTGCTGGAGACTAAGGGATGAAGCAGAATGAGACAAGTTAATTCCAGGGCCCTGAGATGTAGAAGCAGCAACTGCAAAAGAAAACAAAAATAAAGGAATTAACCCATTTAAAAAGGATGGATTCAAAAGACTATCCTAAGAACCTATTTTTGGATTATCAACACCACCACATACCAATAAGGTCTAAAATTTCTACCAGGGAAATGACGTGCTCTAAAACAGCAAAGCTAAACAGTAGTTTGATCAGGTAAGTCAGATTGTATGAAATGGAAATCATTTCCAGAAATGATTATTTCTGGAAAATAATCAAACATGGAGTAACCTGAAAACACATATACAATAATTCTAAATGCAGAAACACACACATACCACAGTATCTTATGCATGGCTGTTCTTTTTGGCTTTTTCTTTAATTTTCTGTATTACTTATCAATTTCCTTTCTCCACATAGCTATCTATTATTTATAATATCATTTTTCTGCTCATTTTTATTATCTGTATCAGCATGAGCTACTTCTTGACAAGCAAGCTTTTATTATAGCAGAGATGTTGTAGGATATACTTAAGTATGTGGTAGAATCCTTACCCGTATCTGGAATTTCACTGGTGAAAACTTTCGATTCTCGTAATCGGCTTTCTGGCACAGGACTTACTATAAATCGTCTTCCAGCAGAATGAACAACTTGAGTCAAAGAACTGGTAGGAACACCTGCACAAAATGAAACAAACCACTTAATTGCATTACTATTGTATTACACAGTTACCAACATGAAGCTTCAAGATTTCATTATTGGCGTGCACAACTTAAGTCAAAGGTTAAAAACAAACAAGGAAAGAAAAATTCACCTATTTGCTGTGGCATGGAAGACGCAGGAATTGGTTGTTTGAACTCTCCTTCCAATCTCTGCAACACACAAAAGTAATTAAATTCATTCTCAAATGCAATTTCCATGATTAGGCAGAGCAAATCGCCACATATGCAGAGAACATGAATGCTTGTTCTGGGCCACCAGTGTAATGTAGTACTAGTGGACATTTTGCATGGCAAATTTAGCACCATGAAAATATTTTAAATAACCAAAGCTCTACCATGGGAGTGGTGAACCTACTTGAGAACCTGAATAGCCATAGTCATCCTTTCCCTGTAGACTCTCCAAACCCTGGTCACCCTCTGGTTCCACATTGACATCCTCACTGAGCATTTCATCAGCTTTTTCAATAATTTCCCGGACCTGAGCCACAAATGACTCTCTCTCAATTGCTAGAATAAAGTCATTGTTCACCTGTAAAAGAAATGTGGTGTTCATCTGATCAGTGCAACATTTTAAGTTTTAAGCTATTCAACTGCCATTTTTATGATTTCTACCCTATCTGCACATTAACAATACGATTTATTTCATATGTAAGTTAGTTCTTCCCTTTTAGGAACCTTACTTAGACATATCCTAGACAAAAACATCTCTAAATAACAGGTTGAATGTACTAGCTATATCACACTAAAAATAACTCTCAAAATAAGCATGAATTATAAAATACTGCACAGTTCCCTAGGGCAAGGGTATTAAGATAAAAGTACTAGGGAAATATTTGGAACTCCAAATGTAGACATACCATAATTGTTGCTATCTCCTCGGGGTTGTCACCATCTAGGTCAAATTTGAATGTAACCATTTTCCGATTATGAGTCTCTAATTGACATTCTACTACCCGGTCTCCTTTATTTGAAACCTAAGAAGAGAAAAGAAAAGGTACTTCATTTCAGAAGACCATATTCAACTTTATCACTGAAAATGAGAAAAGTCATTCAGATGAATGCTTGCATTTAAGTGCTCCGCTATTCCCTGGAGCACTAATAACAAGTCTCTTAAACTGGGACAAGAAAACCTGTGGGAAGGTATCAGCCTTGGAGCTGGTATCTTACTCATTTTCTACTAATGAGTCTAGAAGGACTACAAAATCTCTTCTATAATCTAAAACTCTTCACCCTTTTTCTAAAAAGTAAGTAGTGCCTGCTTGTAGACATATGGAATTTGAGAATATCATTTGGGTCAGTAGAGAATTCTAAACTGGCATCAATTCACTTGAGCCTTTGAAATTATTTAAACTAAAGAACAAATGAATTATTTAAGTGATGCCCTATTATAGCTTTACAAACTGTATTTTCACTTTTCTTTTTCCTTTTTCTTTACTTTTTTTAGCTTTTTGAGGCGAGGTCTTGCTTTGTACTCCAGGCTGGCCTCAAACTCACAATCCTCTTGCCTCAGCTTCCTGAGTGCTGGGACTACAGACATGGGTTAACCATGCCTGGCTCACTTATTTTTTTTGAGAAATGTGGTATTTAATGAAAAAAGATTGGGGGTTAAGTGAGAAGAGTGCTACATATACATAACACAAAGCAGTATCTTTATTTTGTGAAGTTAGTGGTTTGAATCTGGAGATTTCTAAAATCTTTCTGAGTGTCAAACTGCTTTAACAATACGCTTGCCACAAATTAGCAATACTTACATTCAAAATTCTCAGTTTTGGGCGTGAAGTCTTTTCATGACGAGAACGACTTCTTACAGATTTTCGATAATGACGTTTTGTAGTTCGCCCTTCATGCCTCCCACTGGATGAAGGGGCATTCTCATTGCCATCACTCATACCTGAAGCAACATCTGAATGTGCACTTTGGATTAAAAAAAAAAAAATTTTCAGTGTACAATAGGAGATTTAAAGCCCTGCTATTCTGAGGTTTCCATCTTACCTATCACTCAAAGGTTAATTTTAGTTTTATTACGTACCTGTCTATAGAGGAAACCAAAGTGACAGGTTGGGTAGGTTGTGGCTGTGCTACTGGAACTGGCTCTGGAGGAGCAACCTGAGAGACTCCCTGAGTACTCTGTGAATGGACAGGATAATTCAAATCTCGGCAGTAATATATTTTTTATCATTCAACAATCAAAATATGCTCCCTTTTCTTTTTTCCTCTTATCCCTCCCCTAAGTCCTAGAAGCAGTACATTTACTAGTAAGTTTTAATATTCAACATCTAGAGACAGTGTTCTCAAAATTCCATAGGAAGTTTCTAAAGCAAGTCTCTAGTATAGACTGCATGGTGTGAGGTCAGCCAACCTACTTGCTAGGCATTGTGAAACTACAACTTGCCATGCAGCCAGCATCTTACCAGAAGTGTGCAACAGGGCAGGCAGAGAAAAGTGAAAAGATGAATTCAGATCTTTCTCCTAGTAGGGCAAAAACGAATGCTGGGAGCACAGCAGGATAAGATACTCTTATGACTGCCAATGGCAAGAGTTTGTGGAAGGACAAGAATAATGGCCAAAGTACTAGCTAGAGAAGTGAAGTGCTAATAGGGTTAATCTTCTCCAAGGCAAACTCACTTCCCAACAGAACAGCCAGTGGCAACAAGGCCCCCACATTGGCATTTCATTCTGCTGTAAGAAAAAGTCATTCAGAAGTTAGTTTGACATAGTCTCCAAATGGGTTCTAAACCAGGGGAGCCTATTTTTCCTTTGTCATTTTTATCCCATTCTTTCTCTCTCTCTCTCTCTCTCTATATATATATATATATAGTATATGGTTTTTATATAAACATGCAATAATTCCATTTACCTCCAGAACTGCTTGCTGGGAGGATGTAGTGGGGGGTTGTTGCACTAAACTCACTGCTGGTTGGGACACTTGAACCTGTCCTCCTACACCGCCCACAGGAACCAAAAGATTTGATTCCACATAAGGCTGCACCACTGAAGGAAAGTAACCTGGTGTAGCCAATGCTTCTGTCGGCATGGGAGGGGCTAGGACTGTAGAATGGATGCAAACAGAAGCCACGGTGGAAGAGGGAGCAATATTTGAATCTCCTGGGTATTGTGGTGGCAGTCGAGGTGGGAAGCCCTGTGATAGAAATGAGGAAGGTGAGTTAGTGCAGGTTGGGACATCAAATTAGCAAATCAGCAAGACATGCAAAAAAAAAAAAAAAAGCACACAGCAAAGAATAGTAGCCCACTCTCTTACTAATAATCTAAAGATCATTCTTGAAATGAAATGGTAGACTGGTTCCAATTTGGGGGCCAGCACTCCATAATCTTACTTTAAATTGCTGGTTTTCCCCTCCTACAGATTAAATAGGATTTTTATACTTAATTCCTTGTAGAAAGGTTTATCTACTTCCTAGCAATCTTACATGAAAGACTGCAGTAACTCTTATAGGTATCAGTGATTCCAGTTCTATTATGTAATGCTAATCCTCTAACTCTAAATCCTCAAATTTTTTGCTGATAGCATGTCGTCAACCCTATTTAATTCCACCCATATATACTGATGTACAGCCTGATGTACTATAGTTACCATGTCTTTCATTCAGGCAGCTTATGCTGAAGAGTCAAGAATAATTTCTTCCCCCAAGTTGTTTTGGGAAAAAATGGGTAAGGAGTCATCAGACGGTATCACCCTATCCCTTTTCTCAGATTTTACTATTTTAGCTTTTCTAGTTGAGATCAGCAACTTTTGTTACTGTTTTTCTGATGCTCAACTTTTAGATCTTCAAGTTCTTGATGGTTTGTTATTATAATCAAGCCCTCTAGTGCCCTCCTGTTTTGCTAGCTAACACAATACCTGGTATAGAACATCTCCAGAGGGAAGTGGAACCTCAGCAGCTTGTCCAAGGTTAGCTGGTATTCCCATGGACTGAACTGCTGATTGTAGGAGCTGTGGGTGAACCTGACTTGGCAGCTGAGTCACAGGCTGCAGAAGAGTTGGAAGCTGACTAGGAACCACAGTTGATCCCCCTGGAATAGAAGCTGCTGTAGCAGATGAAGCTAAGGTAAGCAGAGGCTGATTAATGCCAGCTGCCATTGTGATGGGAAGGGATGAGAAACCTGTCTGAGCCGTTGACACATGAGGAGCTGATATGGGAATTTGAGAGACAGGGTACTGTGGGAGTAAGGAAGTGGGGAGTGGCTGTCCCATAGGGAGGAAATGAGCACCAGAGTGGACTGGAACTGAGGGTTGTGTCGCAACTGGGATCTGAGGTTCGCCTTGGATAGTTGGTACTGGCTGGGAAACTGGAAGCTGGGAAGGTAAAGAAAAACAAAACAGACTTTTTTTGTTTAAAGCAAGGATGGCAAAAGCAAGATGTATGTATTAGCCAAAGAGAAGGAAAAACCAAACAAAACCCTGCATACATTAGTGTAAGTTAATATACTACATAAGAACAGGGAAAGGATAGCAGGAGACAAAGAGGCATAAACTGGCTACTGTTCAAAACCTTTTGTTATAGAAAATTGTGCTAATGTTTCATCTTTGACAATAAAGAGTACTTTTCTAAAGGCAAAGGTTTGTTGTTGCTGGGTTTTGTTTTGTTTTTTTTAAACAGCTTTATTGGCATACATTTCATATACCATAATCCACTGTCATGTTTGCTGTTAATACATCTATGACTGCTTTTACGGTAGTTTATGAAATTCAGATGGGTTTCTTTCTAGTGGAATTAGACTTCATTTATATTTTCAATTCTTAAGTCTAACATAGTTGAATAGAAGTAGGTATAATTAACCTATTTCACTGAATCTAGGATGCAATCATTCTTCACTCCCTAGTCACTTTAACATTTGAGAAATTGGAATACACCTTACGATTATGTGCCAGGATGTACTCAGTGGTACTTAAAGGTGCATTTTATAAGCAAGTGTCTCAGATATGATGATATGCCATTAACAATGCACTGCGTATATGTAACCACATCAAATTGAAAAAAGGTCATTCAAAAGAATATACCCTCTTACAGAGTACTTTCCAAACACTACTTAGAAAAAACACCATTCTACCCGAAAAGTTATAGACTGTGATAGTCAATCTTTTTTTTTTTTAAACTTATTTTACTTAGACAGGGTCTGTTTCTCACTATATGGTCCAGGCTGGTCTCCATTCTTCTTCCTCTACCCCTTAGGGCTGAGATAACAGGTGTGTGATGGCTAATCTTGTCTGTCAACTTGATTGGACAGAGAGACACCTAAGTGATAAGTAAAACATACCTCTGGTTTGTCTGTGAGGGTATTTCCAGAGGCGATTAGATCATAAGGGCTCTGACTAGCCCATTGGTGGGTTCAAAATTCAAAGACTAAGTGGATTGTTAGGGGAGTGCCCTTGAAGAACATATTTTGGCCCTGTTCCCTGACTATTATGCTTCCTCTGCCTTGCCTTTCCGCCATAATGTTTCTGCCTTGCCACAGGACTAAAACACAAGTAAGCCAGCTGAGTATGGATGGACTGAAAAACCTCTGAAATCATGAGCCAAAATAAATCATTCCTCTTTTATTTTTCTCAGGTAATTTGTCATAGCACTGAAAAGCTAACTAACACTATGACTTATTGTCATTAGGCAATGAGGAAGTCTACATTAAAATAAAGCCTATTTGGACGCCTACAGTATCAAATACAGCAGACACATTTCTAGAGAATACCACATGCTCAATCACTAACGCATCTTTATTTAACCCACTTTTAATAATATCTAACTGTTTTATACCTACATAAACCTCAAAGTGAAACATTTGTAGATGTCACTGCTGTCAGCTTATTATTTACATTAAATAATGCATATAAGAATGGATATTTTTACTTCATTATTGCAGTGAGATTAACCAACTTCAACAGATTACTACCAGAAGAGAAGGTATAGGTCTAAGTAGACGGTAGGACAACTAAATCACTTTTAGCATCTTTTCAGAAATTAGAGTTTACCTGTTTTCCAGCTGACACTTGAGGCAAGACCTGCGAAGCTTGAGGCTGACTCACTGGCTGTGCAGTAGTGGTCTCACTTGAGGATGCTGTATGTGGAAGTGAATACTGCACTGCCTGTTGAGGAGGAGTTGACTGCTGAATTCCCTGTTGCTAAGAATAAAATATAATGATTCAGTTTTTTTGATAAAAGATCTTGTTATGCTGCCTGGGCTGGTCTTGAACTCTTGGGCTCAAGTTATCCCCCTGCCTCAGCCTCCCAGGTAGCATTAACCACTACACTTGATTCAAATTATTAATAACACGTTTCTAGGGAAGTATGATTATTTCAGTAAGTAAGACATGCAAAACTCAAATTCATCAAGTCCCTTTACATGTTTTTCCTCTGATGGTTTTCATTAAGAATTAACCAATGTTTTAAAACTGGAGTGACCCTTTTTTTTTTTCCCCACCCAATGTTGCAGGTCTTTACAAAAACTTTTAGATACCATACCCAAATAGCTCCTTACCAACCCTAACTTTCACTCCCTCCTTTCCCAATTTTTTGGTATTAGTTCAGACCCTCCATTTTAGAACAATCTAGTTTCCTCCTGTCATCTTTTTCTTAAAAACAACATCAACAAAAAAGCCAACAACTGTATAATCTGATTACAAAACTGAAAAAACACTGAATTTTGAAAACAGGAAATACTTTCAAATTTTAATCTTATCATTTATTGGTTGCAATACTTTAGATTGTTCATTTTATTACAAAAACAAAGTTTCCCTTTTTTTTTTTTTTTTTAAAGAAGAACACTATCATTCAACTCTAGTAGAGCAAAGAGAATGACATCTGACTAAGATCTCCATAGTAATAGGGAAAGGATAGCACGAGACAAAGAGGCATGAAATGTAGGCTAGGCATCAAAATGTAATTGTAACCAAATAGTAAACTTTATAGTAAATCAAACAAACAACAGGACCACTCTAAAATTAATGCTGCCACCCTACCATGCCTAACAAAAATTTTGAACTTCAACTAGACTTGGTGGTGCATGTCTATAATCCTAGCAACTAGGAAGAAGAGGCAGGAGGATCATGAGTTTGAGGCCAGTCCTGGCTACATGTAAGTGACACCCTGTCTCAAAATTCAAACAAATGAACAAATTAAACTTTACTGCTGACTTCAAGACTTTCCAGTAACTAAGAATTAATTTAATATTTGTTTATTTGTTTTTTGTTGGTAATGGGACTTGAACTCAGGGTGTCACGCTTGCTAAACAGGTACTCTACACTGGGGTATTTTTGAGATAGTGTCTCATGAACTATTTGCCTGGGCTGGCTTTGAACCTTGATCTTCCTGATCACTGCCTCCCAAGAAGCTAGGATTATAGGCCTGTGCCACTAGCACCTGGCTTCTAACTTCTTTCTTATGGCAATTAAAAATAACAAATTATGAAAAAATGCTAAAATATGCTTGTTTTATTCCTATTCAAACATTCCTGATAAAAGCAATCATGAACGAACAAGTGTTTAATTATATAAAAATCCACCACCAGATACTAAGAGATATATTTATATAGCCAACTCTAAGGCAATTCTGAGTACAAGATAATTTAATTTCCTCATTTTCCCACTAAGGAAGAGGAACTGAAAAACCAAAAGACTTTATGCCAACTTGAATATATTTAAACTTTAAGGAATGTGAATGAAATATCTACAATCATTAATTTACACACTTAAAGAAGACTGCAGTTACATAAATATATTCTTCAAATGTAAGACACATTAGCATCTTCATTTTCCCTTTAAGTATTGAGATCAAATTTGGAGTAACAAGTCTTTGTTTGGATAGTATTAGTTTAGTTAGATTTTCTTTGCATTTGTTTTATAGGCTTATACTCACGTAACCTTGGTAATAACTTCTTCAAGTGATCTTCAAACAAGTATATGGAATAGTTAAATTATACCCCTAAGAATAAGGACCAAACCTATGTTTAATTTCTTAGCTTAAAAAAACCCCGACCAATTCTGTCAGACCAATTAATGTCTCTGCAGGCACATTTGCTCTCACTTGTTTTGATTTCATTATCATTTTTTGTTGTTGTTGTAGGTTGAAATAAAGAACAATGAGAGCTCTGTAGCATAAGAGTATGCTAAAGTTTTGAATATAACAGCAATATTCTCTTTTTCAGACAGGGTCTCACTGTGTAGCCCAGGCTGGCCTGGAACTTTTAATTCTCTTGTCTCAGCCTCCAGGGTGCTGGGATTACAGGCATGTGCAACCATACCTGTCAGTGCTCTTCTTTTCTAAGCAGTAAATGCGGGAAAGCCTTATATTTGGGCATATGGTAATCATATGCCCCGGTCCCTCTCCCAGCCCCATTATTTATAATCCAAGCTCACACAAAAATTTGGATTCTATCAGCCCTTTTATAAACTTATACTTTTACATGTCTACGTTCTAGGCAAACCAAATTAAAGGGTTGGGGATGTAGCTCAGTGGTAGAGCACTTGCCTACCATGAGTGAGACCCTAGGTTCAAGTCCAGCACCACAAAACTAACTATAAAAACTTTTAACTGAAGGCATATTTGTTTCTCTCCTGTATTTTTCAACCTTTATACCTTTTACACCACACATATTGCCCTGCCCCTTTCTCTTGGCCTGGAGTATTCTTTATTTCTACATATGAATCTAACATAATTGGGGTCCAACATGCCTTTGGTATCTCTCCCATTTTATGTTCAGGAAAGATATTAATTTCTCTCCTTTTTTGGGACTTTGTTTAGTAGTAAATGCTGAGTGGAGGAGCCATGCTGTTCATATTTCAACTTTTTGCCTCTTATAAGCTGTTAAGTTTAGGTAAATTACCCAAATTTCTCAGCTTTCCCATCAGTAAAATGGAAATAATGATGGTATCATTATTATTATTAGAGGTGACTCATGGGGATTAAATGAAAGTGTAAGTAAAGTAGCTTGACCCATATACATAATTTTACCTATTATCCTGATTTGATTACTACCAAAAATGATTTTATGAACTTATTCCCTTAGGTTTTTTGCTCAAGTAACTGACAGGAATCAATGCTAATTGTACCTTAATGCATTTTGGTAAGAGTGGTACTTCCAAGTAGGCCAAAAGTCCATGGTGATCTGCTTCTGCACAATTATACTAGCTAATAACCAACACTTTAGACAAACAGGTATGGTTAAACATAGCAGGATGGCAGCATGCTTTGCACAGACCTGCTCATGAGATTAGCTCACACAGCTTTTATTGATTGTACTATCTGTTGGGTGTGGCTGCTTGATGAGAAATCTTCCTGAGCTTCAGCTAAACAGAAAGTATGAATATCAGAACACTCTATATGTGCCCTTATGGCTACAAAGTTTTCCAGTAGGAGCAAGCTATTTTTAGTACTGCATTAAAACAAAGCATACCACTGTAACTCAACACAAACACGAAGAAAAAACAAAGAAACCCACAAAAAAATGCACCCTCATAGTTTACTAAGTTCTATAAATCCATGCAATATGCTAAATTTCAGCTAAAGTATGTTTCTTTCCATACTATATACAATAAAACTAAACATGTATTTCCCTAAGGTAGATAGGAAACTAACACTATATAAAACAAAAATCTCATCTAAAAACAGATTATCCATACATATAGTACAGAGTTTTCAACTTTTGTTTCTTTTTAGTTTGGAGCCCAATAATAAATAAATAGAACTTTCTGGATACCTCCTGCAGAACTTTATTTAGAGAAAAATAATCGACTATTCTAGAAATCTTGAATTCTAGATTGTAATTTTTACTCTCTTAACGAGTGTGACCCTAGAAAAATTTTAAATATTCTAGACTGCATGTAATTCTGGTATAAACTAATTCAAATATTTTATGACTCTATTCAATCTCAAGGTTTCATGCTATAGTAGTATCTAAAATGAAAACATCAAAATAAAAATTTTTGTGGAGTGACACAGCATTTAGCCATTTTTTCCCCCCTACTCGAGTCAATTACCTAATTTTTTTCTTTTTTGAGAGGCCTCACTATGTAGTCCAGGCTGGCCTGCTTCAGCCTGCTGAGGGCAAATGCTAGGACTTCAGGCATGTACTACCACGCCCAACTCTTTTTTTTTTTGAGATAGGTCCTGTCTGTCCTCAAACGGAGATCTTTCCATGTCTATCTCTTGCCTAGCTGGGATTTGGTATGTGTTATCACCATACCTAATTCTTTCAATCTAACATTTATAGTATTGTTCTCTACCCTCCCTAACTTTCTCAGCACTGAACTCAATGGCTAATTTAACTTGATTAGAAATTTGTGTATATGCATACATATACATAAATGTATAATGCTATCATTATGCATATATTGTATGTACATATCCATATAGATGTATGTATGCATACTAACTACACACATACATATGTGAGACAGTCATCAAATTCCTTTGGAGAAAGAAAAACAGCACACACTTAAGTTTGCTCCATTTGTTGGTACTGGCCTATGGCCAAAGATAAAAACTATAATTATACATAAATTCAGGGATCTGTCAGGAAGAAATGTCAACAGCAAGACAAAGCTAATAATTACCAGCCCATAAGTTCTACAAGATAAGATGTGCTGGTCACTGAGTAATGTACAATCAAAGCAATCAATGTCTTCTGTACAAAATGCTTTAAAGTGATTTTTTACCTTGCATAAGGAACACCTAATCTACAACCAGTATCAAATAACTACAGGGCCAAATGCTAGACTGGGAGAGGCCATTTCTAATAAGGATTAAGTTTTTTTTCAAAATTAACAGAAGCTGAAGTCAATTTAGAATTTGGAGGTTAAAAAATATACCTGAGGAACTATTAATAAGATAGCGTATCATGAAGTTTTGTATTACTCAGGAGTACAAAACAGCTATTAAAAGATTCTATTATGCCAAAAAAAGCTTATTTTCCTTGTAAACAATTGCTCTTATTAACATCAGTAATGAGCTACTGATATTTAATTTCAGGATTAGTAACTTTTACTGATGAATATATTAGCACTGCACTGATCTGATCTCCTTGGACTTTCTGGCACAAAGCCTCCCAAAATCAAAAACTTGTTTACTTTGGTGGCACTGGGGTTTGAACACAGGTTCTTGTATTTGCTACGTAGGCATTCTACCTCTTGAGCCAGGTCCCCTGGGAAAATCAAGTTTAACTAAAAAATTTAAAAACAATTTTTCTGCAGTAGTTGTTCTTTAGGTTTTAGTCAATGTCTCTTAATATAAAATTCGATACCCTATCCCACATACTGGAATAATTAGAACACACATTCAGGATGACAGAAAAACATGATAAAATGGTCATATGTGGAAAAGTCATAAATATAGGTGGGAACAAATTGCTATTCTTTGTACTGATAAGTTATGTGTAGAATCACATTAAGGTGGCAGATAAATTATTTCAGTAACAATGATTCTTCCAAATTTTAATATATAACCAAAATTTTCAAACATGCATTAAACAAGTAAGATTTCCTAAAATGATATTAAACAAATGTTATGCCCCTTAGTTTCTCTTTCAAAAACTTACCAAGCCATGTATATCAGGAATCTAATTAACAAAAAAAAATGTAAAACAGTGTTTCTACTACTTGCTAATTCATAAAATGTAGCAGTGTTCTCACCTGCAGAGGATGTTGGATAGGCTGGGAAGGTGGAACTCCTGATAAGCTACTTGATGGTGGCTGGCCCTGGCTCTGCCCCTGTGCCTGAAGGAAAGAAGTGAACATAGTAATTTAGAGAAAGTCTAAGGTAAGTGTATTTATGTCAGTCTTTTGCAATAAATACTTAAGCTCCTGAGAAGTTTGCTTGATCAAAATGAAACATTAGCTTGATTAAGTATGTATAGGTGAAGCCTCTGGGATATCTTTGTAAAAAAGTATAGAGAAGGATCACAAGACATTTCTGATCCTATCCCATTTAAAAACACTGAGAGTTAAAATTTAATCTAGCACTGACACTAGGGCTACAATTTTAGCTGGTTAGAGTAGCTGGATCCATAATAAAATTGTTACAGGGGAAAAAAAAAGTGGTAAGGTTATCAACATGGAAAAAATTTTAAATCTGAACAATTGAAGACAAAAGGCATTTAATACTGTTAATTTGGTTCTTTTTCCTACTTGTAACTTTTATTAAAATTAAAATGTCAATGATCTGCCATAACCAACTGCTAAATAATGTATAGCAATGGTTGTCACTCAAGGAACATGTGGCAATATCTGGAGCCATTTCTGGTTGTCACAACTGGGAGATGGCTGCTGCTACAATTTAGCAGGCACAGTCAAAGGTTGCCCCTACTCTAATGCACAGAATAGTCCCCCCTCACAACAAAGAATTATCCAACACAGAATGTTAGTATTAAATTTGAGAAACCCTGATTATAGTGTTTCAATTATCAACAAGTCTAAAATAAGTGAGAGTGTGAAATGAATGGACTAGATAGACAGACAGGCAGACAGACAGATAGATAAAGGAAATGAAAGCTACTACCTTTGATGTTCCATTTCAATTTAGAGGAGATTCTTTGAAGCTTGCATGGATATATCACATGCCACTGAAGCTGAAATGATCTATTTTGCATTTGAAATTTTACTTTGGATAGTTTAAGAAAGTTTGGAAAGAATGGCTGACAATAAAAGTAGTATCTGTAATAGGGTCTGACAACTCAAAGGCTGATGTTGAGTATATAGCATGACCATGCAGTAAAGTTTCAAAATCTTTTTGCTTCTTAGCAATAATCTAATTAATACTATATGTACATTTTCAGAGCTTTTTATGTCTTTTTTTTTTTTTTGTGGTACTGGGACTTGAACTCAGGGCCTACACCTTGAGCCACTCCACCAGCCCTTTTCTGGAGAAGGGTTTTTTGATAAAGAAACCACTGCCCGGGCTGGCTTCAAACTGCGATCCTCCCGATCTCTGCCTTCTGAGTAGCTAGGATTACATGTGTGAGCCACTGGTGCCCAGCTTCTTTATGCCTTTAATGGGGGAAGAACATAGGAAGGAAAGTAGGAACAACATATAGTACTCTATAAAAGAGTGTAATATTGAGGACATTCAAATGATATCTTTAGTATATAACCAAAGTCTCTTATGTAGACTTTATTATTTACATTTGATAAAATATGTCTGAAGAATTTATGAAACAGTCAACACTGTCTTCTTTAATTCTATGTCCCTTTTTTGTTGCAGGAGTATATATACCCTTACATAACTATAAACATAAATTTGATGAGAAAACAAGACCTGAGGTGACTGCTGTTCTTGACCTTGGAATATATAGATTCTTCAAGCAAAAATCTAATGTACCCACCACCCAGTAGATTCTCAGTTTTTAAAATTAGAATCAGTCCTTAATTTTGCAGATTAATAATTCTATATGGGTACTTAATACATAATGACCTGTATGATACCATTCAAAACCAGTATCCTTCCACACTAGTAAAATTTCTGTTTATAAATATTACTCCAGAAAATTTTCAGTATTTTTCCATTTTCATTTTATAGATTAGTTTAAAATTTGTCTAGAAGGATAAAATACTTTAGTATACCTAAATAATCAATGCTGAGTCAATCTTTCATTACAGATAATTGCATTTTCACTACTAGTTGAAAATTCAATATATAGGGATGGCAGTCATTGATTTTGATGATTTTTGCCTACTGGCAAATCAGGTAACTTCTGCTTATGTTATGACCCCCAAAAGATGGAAAACTGTTGGAAAAAATTATAAACAACATTCCACATAAAACCATGATTCAGGGAAACTAGGGCTAGAAAATTTAAATGCAATGGAGCATACTAGGGTAGTTTAAGAGAATTGCAGAAGTTTTCCTATAACCTGTGGGTGGGGTGTAGATCCTCCTGAAGAAAATGAGGCATGTAAGACCTGCTGAGATGTGGTTCCTTGGGGGAAACAGAAGAAAAGTGGGGATTCTTGTAATACTGTCTGAGGCAGACGGATAAAGGGTAATGAGACGTCAGAACCAAAAGGTGCAGCTGTTCCCCCTGTAGGGGGAGGTGACAGAAAATCACTGGGATCTGAAGAAGTGATTTGTGAAGAATCACTGGAATACTCTGGGCTTCCTATTGGCCAGTTCTGTCCGATAGACTCTACCACAGAAACGGTCAACTCTGGGGCATGGTAATTACGCTGTTCTTCAGTCACAGGCTGCAGGTGACCATGTAATCCAGCTGACTGAGGAGGTGGTTCTTCCTGATTTGAGTCCACTGCAACCTGTCGATTTCGGTAAACACGTTGAGGTAAAATTCCACCTCCTTCTCCTGAAGAGGAGCTTGAAGTTTGAGTATGAAATTCAAATACACAGTTGCTTCTGCTCTCCTTGCTATGAGTTAACACAGCTGGTGCAGAATGAGGAACAAAGACAGGGTGAAATTTCAAACATGTAGCATCTGTACTGTTAGGTGCAGAAATACTAGAGAGGGGAGATGCTGGACTCAATCCAGAATCTAACCTTAAATTCTGAAGGTGTCCTACCAGGAAAGCCTGTCCAGATGGAAATTCAAAGACAGAACTTGATGTAGGGCCCCCTTGCACTGGCTTCTGTTCAGGAATCTGTTTCATAGGACTTGAGGGGACTGGTGAGTTGTATGAAATGCCCTCATACTGTTCTGCCACCTGGGCCTGGTAATGTGCCCCAGCTAGATACACTGCTTCCTGAGGAACAAAATAGTGAGCTTCTTCTGGAAGTACTAGTCCAGGTCTATAGTCACTGTGAACTTGAGATGGCTCAAACACAGGATGGACCTGTATCTCACACAGCTCTCCAGTTACTCTACTGGCTGCAGTACCCAGCATAACTACGGCCTCTGGTGTCCAGTTGGTTGGGCTGCCACCAAGTGGAAGAAGATTATGGCCAACAGTCCTCAGCAGGGGTTGGAAGTGGCGAGTTTGGGCTTCCAGGAAGGAGGTGCTCTTACGCCGTTGGGAAATGGCTACTTTCGGTGGACAGGTAGGAGGTGGTGAAAAAGAAACTGGACGTTCATGAATAGTTGGGAAAAATATCTGTGATTCTGGGTATGTTGGGGTCCCCCCACACGGATGCACCATGGACTGAGGCTGTATCAACACGAATAAAAGAAGTAATTCATACATTCATATGTGAAATTACATCAGACATGCACAATTGGATAGTTTTGTGTAACCTATGAAACTGTTACACCAACTTTTTAACAAAGAAATAATAATGCTTTCAGAAATTATGTGCATAGTAAAAATCCATTAAATACATCCAGGGCAAATAAAAATCAACCTGTGGGACTCTTTGCATTAGACAAGAACTGCTTTCCTGCAACTTTACTTTCTTAAAGCAAAATAATGATTAAGCTTCCTAAGTGATTACTTTATTTTATCCATAACTAATATGTTCACTCTTGAGGCTTAAAAATGACATGAATGGAAACAATCTAAGTGCTAAAGGGCAATAAATAAGCCCACTCATCTTTATAGTGTAAAATGTGTGCTTCAATTTTCTAAGTCTCATATATTCTTACTATCCTGTGCTATTAAGAGGCTTCAGTGTTATTTTTCACCAACTAATAGTATGTCTTCTAACTAGAAATCAGAAGAAATTTTTAGTAACTAGTGAAAGGCAAACAAGACAAGCATAGTGGTGCATGCCTGTAAATCTAGCACTCAGGAGGCAGGAGGATCCTGAGTGCGAGGTCAGATTGGGCTGTATTAGCTAGACTGTCTCAAAAGACAAACAAAAACAAAATAATACAGTTAATAGTTTTGCTACTACATGGAACATATTACAGAAGCTAAATATCAGATATCCATTTTTCTGATCACTGATAAGGGCTGAATACTATGAATTTTCTGATTCTAATAGCTTGTGTCTAAATCAGGTGGAGTGGCTAATATAACAGTCAACTTTATTTAACAGCAATTTTGTTTCTAGAAGCAGTTCTAGATTTAAGACTAAATATAGAATAGCTTGTCAAATGCAATACACACTACAGTAATTCATTACCATGGACTCCTTCTTAAAAGATATTAGTTTCACTCTTCCAAAAGGGAAGACCCCTTTATGTAACAAAAGGGGCTCAAATGTTCCTAATAGCTAAAAAATGATTTCTAATTTCAAATTAGAATGCTCATTTTACTGCCATTTATCAAGGTGTGTCCAAAAGCCATAAAATATTGTACAGGTAATCATTCTCCTAAGTAAAAATATGAAGATCCTGGGATTACTAGTTCAGAATATTAACTATATTTTGTCTAGAAAAGCAGAAGCAAGGTCCCACAGCATTTAAAACAATTTAAAAAGATAGATCTTTCATAAACATTAATGGAGCCAAAGAAAGTGTATTTACTCATTAGTGTCAAGGCCCCATTCTATTCAATCTAAGAAAAAAATACTTCCTGTGAAGGAACATTTTGTGAGAGTTTTTGCTGAAATACCATTTTACACAAATTATTAAATTCAAGCAGACTTTTACTCAAATTTCTTTTAATGAATTCAACTTTTAGTCTACAATTATTCTTCACTATGCTAAAAAAAATGGATTCATATGGTTTCATTAATAATATCCCTCAAGAATAAACTGAGAAGAAAACATGTTTGGACAGTGTTTGATAACATTTGTTTTGGATTAAGCCAATAATCAGTTTAAAATTAAATAATGAAACATACCTTTCTTATGATATGAAAATACAAAAACTGTCAGTGGGGGAAGGAAAATATAACCAAAGCTAAATTTTGTTTGGCATAAATTGGTATGCGCAATGGACATTGTAAACATTCCTCCTTGATTTTATTTCCCCTTAAAAGCCTTATTACAAAAATGTTTCCTATAGGAATCATATTCATGATGCCTGGATGTATTCATTGGTAATAACTGTTCATTTGTCAGGAAATTTACAATTACATACAGTACTGACAAAGAGGGAAGGCAGGCTGGAGCGTCGATGCTTGCGCTGAGAGGCAGAGTGCATAGGCAGGACACTCTCCAATGCTTTAGAAAGCTTTTCGGCAAAAGTTTCTTCAGGGGCAGTCCGAAGGAGGGAAGGAGAAAGATGTGCAGATAGAACTGGTGGGGTGGAAGGAGCACTGGGAGAGATGCGGGACAGAGAGGGAACAGCAAAAAGATGGGGAACACAAACCGACATGCTACAGCCATGACGAGGCTAAACAGAAAACAAACATACGTGAAAAAACACAGTACTATGAAAACAAAATAACCAAATGTATAGTGATAACAGGGCACAGTTAACATAAAGAAATGTTCCATCCTCCCCAATTTGACAAAGTCAAATATTTTTTAGGAAAGAACTCCACAAAGAGCACCTGGCAGATCACAACTATTCTCTCTTACTCTGTTGGTCATGTATAGGTTTTCTTATAAATGATCATAGTAAGAATCAATTATGCTGAATATTCTGAAGTAACACCAATTGTTATATATAGGCATGAATAATAAAGAATGACTGAAGATAGCAGACAGGGACAACAGTGAATACAGAGTCATTGGTTTACAGATTCTGCAAACTTAGTAAGATTAAACAAGAATGAATTCTGTTAGGTTAAAATATATGAAGATTTGGAACATTTTAAGAGTAGACTATTTTGCACGGGCTCTGGAAACTTGAGAAAAAGATTCTTGTTTCTATTTTAGAAGGCATCAGACTAAAAAGGTTGTTGGCTCACAGGACTTTATTTACTATACTTGCTAATCTTTGCAAAGGTAAAAATCATTATCTACTCAGAAAAAGTATAGCTTTCTTGAAGAAATTCATAACTGAATTTAGGAAACATTCTGTACTCTTACTATGAAATAGGCAATGGAAAAGCATCTTTACTTTGAACCTCTAAACAATGACTTTTTTTTCCAGGCATATCAGAGATTCAACTTAGGTTTACCAAGCTTGAGGCACTTTAAGAGAAAAGGTTTAACAGCTGCAAAGCAGTAGGACTAAAATAAAGGTTGTCTGGAGTATGTTTGCTAATTTTCTTTTAGATACTGTTAACTATGAAACTAATTATATTTCCTGCGAAGGAATGCTTTGAGCCAAATTTGTGGCCCAACAATAACAAGGATGTAATTATCATCATGACTATTTAGCTTCATTCTGGCTCATTTTTTCTTACCCTTGTTTCTCTAATTTTTAATATTTCACTTATGACTTACGTATCATTGTAAGCCATACTATGTTCTTTCTGGAATGACATAGGAAGAAAATTATAAACTTTCTTATAATCCTTAGGGTTTATTTAATAATTTAATTCTTCACAAAGCCTCCACAATATTGTCATTAGAAAACAAAAAACCGTCTGCTTTTGGAACATCCACTAAATACATCTAGTTAGTAGTTCATATATTTAACATCTTCATAAATAGTTATCCTACTTCCTTTTCTACCACTAAATACAGCTAGTTAGTAGTTCATATATTTAACATCTTCATAAATAGCTATCCTACTTCCTTTTCTAAAAGAGACCAATGTTTATAACCCTAGGAAGAGGAAGTCAAGATATAAAAAAATGATTTGAAAAATGTAATTATTACAATTCAGAAAAATTCAGTTAGGGCAAAGCAAGAAGCTGGTAAGAAATGTTGATAAATATCAGAACATAGAAATATACCTTCTATGCATTCTTTATAAAGTCTTTCAACCCTACCTTGTTATTTCAAAGGTTAAAAATTATTGTGTTAGTGGTTTCCTTGTGTTACTGTGGTCATTCACCTTGAGAGCAGCCACAGCAGTATTGATCTACAGACTCTGAAACAACTTTTATTCCAAGGTGTAGCATAAAAGAACAGAGCAAACAAAAGTATTCTCAGAGACAGATTTTCATTGAGTGAAGAGCAAGAATTCTACAATGTTCAGATTAAAAGCTTTCTGAAAAGGTAAAGAATCAGTTTTCTTAAAGTACTAAAAGATGACTGGTTATCATCTAATTTTTTTTCTGAGGCAGATGATATATTTTAGTTTCCTCTGAAGACTTCACAGAGTCAGCAAAAGAAATGAGGTATTATCTGGTAATCTATCTACTTTAACATTTTCTGTATGAGAAACAAAAGTGAATAATGTGTGTATATCATATTTTAGGAAATGACGTCTGTAAATTGAATCCAAACATAAATCAGTAATAAAACAGATACCAAATAAAGGAGAAAGCAAATGAACACATACTGGGGAAGGAACCTGTGTCCAACACAGACTTTAAAGGCAGGAACACACATAGCAACTGATGGTCAACTAAATACAAGCGCTAAATTAAATAGTCATACAAATAAAGGAGTCCTTCACTTTAGAGTATTCACATGCAACATTCTATAATGGTTTGAAGCTCTTACCTGTGTGTTTTATACAATCAGAAATCTTACAGAAAATACTTATTATTTTAATAAATAAGCTTTTGAAAAATTCCCTTCCTCCCACCCCCAAACTATTTGTATGTCTAGTTTATGGCCCTTTGAATAGTTTTAACTGTTGAGTGATGAAGAGAGTACTACTTTTAATCAAGTGCAAACTAGTCTAAATCTGTACATAGACACTTTGTGTTGGCAGTTTAGCTAATTCTCACACATTAATGTGTAATTTACCCTGTTTGCTCTACTCCAGTTATGCAATAAAATAATATATATAATAGAAATATAGTCGTCCCTCAGTATCCATGAAGGTTTCGTTCCAAGATCCCACTACAATGCCAAAATATGCAGAGGTCAAAGTCCCTTATATAAAATGGTGTACTGTTTGCATAGATCTATGCACATCCTCCCATACACTTTAAATAATCTCTCTAAATTACTTATATAATTCAATGTAAATGGTATATAAATAGTTGCTTTTTTATATTATTTAGGAAGGAAATAATGGCAAGAAAAAGTCTGCATATATTTAATACAGTTGCAATTCTTTTTTAGCATTTTAATATCTGAACTGCCAATATGGAACCCACAGACACAGAGGGCTGGACTGTAAATCATTTATATTTTCTACTTGAGGGTTACAATGCTGCTTGGATGGTAGAAAGAATCTGAATTTAGGAGATTACCTGCTGGCTCTCATTGTAGTATTATATCCTCTTATGCATTTACTTACCATGCTTGAGGGTGGATATACCCCATGGGACTGAGATTGTGCTTGGACAGCAGAAGCTGTATGCCCTGGAACTGTGCCGGTAGAATGTGCCTGTTCATGTTGGGAACCATATGAAACTGTCTGTTGGCTGCTCACTCGAGATTCTGTAAAGACGGAAGATCCCTGGCCACTATCAACTGTCCCATCCGCTGAAGGAGTGATGGATCATTAGAAGAGAGAGATTGGGGGGCAGGGAGAGAGGTAGACAGAGAGAAAGTAAGAGAGAGAGGGAGAAATTACTCAAAAGTTCACATTTTCCCAACCTATTTTGAACTCATTACATTAGGGTTAATTGGTTGTTTCTTTGCCCAAATGAAAAGTCTTATTAAGTAGAGTTCTAAATTTATTATTAATATTTTAAAATTTAATTTAATTTTTATTATTTTCTTAGATGTACAGGAGTTTGAACCCAAGGCCTGAGGACTGCTGTGCAGGTGCTCTATCACTTGAGTCACACCCCCCGACACCAGCTCTTAATTTCTATATTTAAATGAAGGACCCATATGAAAAAAATATTTTAGACTTTAAAAACAAATTCTGATTATTAGAGCTGGACACCAGTGGCTCATCCCTGTAATCCTAGCTACTCAGGAGGTAGTGATCAGGAGGATTGTGGTTCAAAGCCTGGGCAAATTGTTTGCAAGACCCTATCTCAAAAAACCCTTTACAAAAAAAAGGGCTGGTAGAGTGGCTCAAGGTGAAGGCCCTGAGTTCAAGGACCAGTACTATGCAAAAGAAAAAAAAAAAAAGAAATTCGGATTTTCACAGAATCTTATCACTTGAAGAGTAAGAGTGGAACATTGTAAGTAAACCTAAATTTGATCCAATTTTCAAAGGTTACTTATGGACTCTAGGTGTAAAGCAGTTAATTCAATTACTAACTACCGGTTCTCATTAGTTTTTTAGTCTATACACTATTTAGCTTTGCTAAAAGTGCTGAA